TTTAAAATCTCAAATATCAGTTTCTCACAAGGGCAAAAATGCATCTGCTTTGCCTGTGCACGAAACATGTGATGCCTGACTTTCTGGGTGTGCTCTCCCACCACAATGAGCTTCTGGCTGACCTCTCCCAGCTCCATCCTGGAATCAGCCAGTTCTTCAAGGAGTTCTTCCTAATGGAGAGTGGGATTTAGTGAGAATAGGCGCTGGGAGTACTTGTGCTGGGGTGTCCTTTCCCTCTCTGCTCCTCACCTCACTCTGTTGTATCATAGCTTGGCTATCACTTCTGCAAGTCCTTCCTTAACACTGCCCTCCCCGGCACCCACTCAGGCCCCTCTGGGCTCCCCTGTCAGCCCCTGAATTACTATAACCCCTATAGCCAGTCTCTCCACAGCCTCCCCTGAAAGGCCCTGAGAGCAGACACCTCAACAGCAGCAAGCATGCTTACCACCCATGCCTTGGTTTCTAAGTACCCTTCCCCATGCAAAGAAATCAGTATTCCTTAAAAAAAGATAATTCTTTAAGAAATGGCTCATTTGGGGAAGGACGTGTTGAGGTTGGCAATCCATCAAGGACAGTAACTACCATGGCTTCCAGTGCTTTGGCCAAACCTCAGATGTGTGGCCTCTTGGCCAGGTGCCTGCGGATTCATATTGCCGGAGCATTTGTATCCCTGGGAGTTGCAGTTTTCTATAAGTTTGCTGTGGCCGAACCAAGAAGGAAGGCATATGCGGATTTCTATAGAAATTATGATTCTATGAAAGATTTTGAGGAGATGAGGAAGGCTGGTGTCTTTCAGAGCGTAAAATAATTTTGAAATATAAAGAATTTCTTTGGGCTGATTTACATAGACGTTTGTCACTGACCTGTGTTCCTGAGCTATGAATATGAGTGATAAATAAACTATTAATAAATTCAAAAAAAAAAAGAAAAGAAATGGCTCATTCCAGGAATAGGGTGGGGAAAGCACTAAATAAGCCTGGAACATCTGGAGAGCAAAGACCGCATTTTGTTCATAGTTGTTTCTTCAGCAGCTAGCCTGTGCCTTGCATCTAGATTGTATTTGCTGGATGTTTGACTTAAGTTCCTTGGCACTAAATCTAGATATCACATGCAAATAACCAGTACCTTACAGGGCTGTTTAGAAAGAAGATATTGCACGTAAGGCATGGGGCACATGGAAGGTAATCACTCCCCATTAGCTTCCCCCACTTTGCCTTCTGGTGAGTTTGCTGGAACTGTTGGGGTATGTCTGGGAACTTGTCCCCACATCCAGTATCTGAGGTCCCCACCTCAGTAGCATGTGTTTCCATGTTGCCACACCCTCCTCCTCTGCTTTCTCACCCCAGATCTTCGGGCCAGTGATGCAGATCCTGAAGTTCAAGACCATAGAGGAAGTTGTTGGGAGAGCCAACAATTCCAAGTATGGGCTGGCAGCGGCCGTCTTCACAAAGGACTTGGACAAGGCCAATTATCTGTCCCAGGCCCTGCAGGCTGGCACAGTGTGGTAAGAGCCTCCCCCTGGCTGCTCACAACTCATCAGAGATTCCCCAAAGCCATGGGCTTCTATAATCCAGTGCTCACCATCCTAGAATTTGAGGAGCTGAGTTTAGTTTCTCCTGGGGTCAGGTAGGGTCTGGTCAATAGATGAGAGAGTGCCTGCCTCCAGATCACAGCTCTCCTTGGGCACACATCATGGGGACCAGGACAGGAGACCAACCATGACAGTGCTCATGGTTGCAACACTGATCCTAAGAGTACATTACCTACTTCTTACCTGCTAAAATGGCTATAATTTCAAAAAAAGAAAAAAAGAGAGAGAGACTTTACCCAACAAATGCAATCAGTGTAACCTGGTATCTTGTACCCTCAATGAATCCCCAACAATAAAAAATAATAATAATGATAATAATAAATAAAGGAAAAAAAACCCCAGAAGATAGCAAGTGTTGGTGAGGAGGTGGGAAAATCAGTAGGAATGGAAAATGGCACCGTCAGTGTGGAAAACAGCCTGGTGGTTCCCCAGAAAGTTAAATGTGGAGCTACCATATGGCCCAGCAATTCTACTCCCAGGTATATACCCAAGAGAGATAAAATATCCACATAAAAACGTGCACATGAATGTTCACAGCAGCCATAAGGTGGACACAGCCCAAATGTCCATCGGTAGATGCATGGATCAGCACAACATGGACTGCCCACGCACTAGAGAACAACACAGGTAGACGAGGAAGAGAAGCACTGGCGCGTGCTGTAGCATGGGTGGACCTGCAAACATGACACATAAGTGAAAGAAACCAGGCAAAAAAAGCCACACACTGTACGGTTCCATTTACATTAAATATCTAGAACAGGCAAACCCATAGGGACAGAAAGTAGATGAGTGGCTACCAGGGGCCGGAAGAGGGAAGAATGGGGAGTGACTGCCTGTTTGGCACAGGGCTTCTTTTTGAGGTAATAGAAACATTCTGGAATTAGACAGTGGTGATGGTTGCACAGCATTGTCAATATACTATAAACCACTGAATTATATGCCTTAAAATGATAAATTTTATTTTATTTATTATTATTATTATTATTGTTAAGGCAGAGTCTCACTCTGTTGTCCTGGATAGAGTACTATGGTATCATAGCTCACAGCAACCTCAAACTCTTGAGCTTGAGCAATCCTCTTCCCTCAGACTCTCGAGAAGCTGGAACCACCATGCTCCAGCTAGTTTTTCTATTTTTAGTAGACACGGGGTCTTGCTCTTGCTCACGTTGGTACTGAACTCCTGAGCCCAGGCAATCCGCCTGCCTCAGCCTCCCAGAGTGCTAGGATTACAGGTATGAGCCACTGTGCCTGGCAAAACGGTGAATTTTAAATTTAATTAAAATTTAATTTTTTTCTTTCTTTTTTTTTTTTTTAAGAGACAGAGTCTTACTTTGTCTCCCTCAGTAGAGTGCTGTGCTATCACAGCTCACAGCAACCTCCAACTCCTGGGCTTAGGCAATTCTCTTGCCTCAGCCTCCTGAATAGCTGGGACTACAGGCGCCCACCACAACACCTGGCTATTTTTGTTGTTGTTGTTGCAGTTTGGCCAGGGCTGGGTTCGAACCTGCCACCCTCGGTATATGGGGCTGGCACCCTACTCACTGAGCCACAGGTGCCACCTACCAAATGATTAGTTCTAAGTGGAACCTGTCACACAGTGCACTCAGTTCCATCCATCTGTGAGCACACCATGAAGGACAAAGATGACTTAGGGCTCTGTCTCACGGGGTTTGCTTTGGATCCTCTGAGGCTAGTTATTACCACAGTTCCATCCATTTCCTTAATAACATTTTAGAGCAATGTAAGGAGTCCCAGGGTGTAACACATAACCCCACAGAGTGATTTCTACAATCTTGTTTCAAATTATAGGATCAACTGCTATGATGTGTTTGGGGCCCAGTCACCATTTGGCGGCTACAAGATGTCAGGGAGTGGCCGGGAGCTGGGCGAGTATGGTCTGCAGGCGTACACCGAAGTGAAGACTGTGAGTGAAGGGCTGCTGTGGGAGCAGGGCCTACTCTCCCTCTGGCTTGAGGCCATCAGTATTTCTTAGTGATTTCTCTTTTGAAGCCCAAGAAACTACAAGAGTGGGTAAAGACCCAGTCTCTGCTCTGTACCATTAGAAAGAACTAAGGACTTGCTCCCATCAACCTACACGGTCATTTCCTACATGGTCATTTTCCCAAGGCCTAAAAATCATGAGAGGAAGGAAAGAGCCCAGTGGGCAGAAGCAACAAGGAAAGGTTTCTAGTAAGAATCAGCAAGTAGGCATTAGATATCAAGGGCCAAAAGCTTCTCATAGCCTTTGGTTTTACAGTCTCAGAGCTAGGAAAACAGCCTGAAGGATGAATCTGAAGTACAAAGAAAGCATACATCCCATACATGTTCCTCACAGCATTACCTCTAAGAGGGAAAAATCAGATGTAACCTGAATGCCCGGGAAATTACGGAACACTCCAATCAGGGAACACAGGGTAGCCATTAAAAATATTTCTGAAGAATATTTGATTTGGAAAATGCTTGCCTTTTAAAGTGAAAAGCAGGATACAAAGTAAGCGCTGTAAGCCCAATTTTACAAGTATATACACATATACATGGATGCTCAGATACATGATGGTCTCACAGCTTCTCTGTGCCCCGCTTACAGGTCACAGTCAAAGTTCCCCAGAAGAACTCATAAAGAACCAGCTGGCTTCTTTCCTCATCGAGTGACAGAAAGTTCGGCAAGATCAGCAGCAAAACCAAGAAAAATGACCCATGCACGCTAAAAGTCTCAAAAAAAAAAAAAAATTCTTCCTACAAAATCTCTCAGGTCAATAAGTCCCCAGAATTTGAATTGTTAAGCAGGGTAGGGTGGGAGGGGTGTGGAGAGCCTGTTAAATTGCAACAATATTGGCTTGACACCTGTGGCTCAACTGGCTAAGGCGCCAGCCACATACACCTAAAGGTGGCTGGTTCGAATCCAGCCTGGGCCTGCCAAACAACAATGATGGCTGCAACCAAAAAATGGTTGTGGCGGGCACCTGTGGTCCCAGCTACTTGGGAGGCAGAGGCAGGAAACTCGCTTGAGCCCAAGAGTTGGAGGTTGCTGTGAGCTGTGATGCCACGGCACTCTACCCAGGGTGATAGCTTGAGGCTCTGTCTCAAAAAAAAAGAAATGGAGGCTCTTGGGGGCAGCATCTTTGGCTCAAGGAGTAGAGTGCCAGTCTCATATACCAGAGGTGGCAGGTTCAAACCCAGCCCCAGCTAAAAACTG